TGGGAGTGGCTCTTAATATTCTTTCTTTTCAAATCACACAGCGCGAGTGGCGTAGTTATATTACGCGCGACGGCTAATCTGACTATCAATGAATACCGCCTCTTTTCTAACAATAAAATACTCTTCTAGTTTCTGTCAACACCTCTTGGTGCCACTCCATGCTTAATTTAAAGACCGCCGCAACGGGCTGCCACAAAAGTGCATAGATGCCACAGAAATGCACCAGATAAGAAGTGTTAACTAGGGAACCACTGCTCGGAACTGGCAAAGAGAAGAAGTGAAGTGTGAAAAAACACCGCACACACGCAATATATTCGTCTGCGTTAGGTTCATCTTTGAATGTGAGAATATTTCGTCAAAGAAAACGCACTTATCCCGGCAAGTTACTTAGTTTTAGAAAACGAAATTTCAGGCCCCCTTAGAGCATACGATTGTCTTATTGAAGTGAACCCCATCCGTGTCTGCCGAAAGTTGGGACCCCAGGAGAATTTGCAGCAAGCGAGTAAAATTATATTAGACAGTGCACATCTGCCTGTATAGCATCCAAATTGAAATTTACAATGAGCCGTTTTAGAAGCAGCTTTTTCTTACCTCTTACGGCACCGTATGCACCAGAAAGGTAAAAAATACATTTTCTACTTTGTGAAGTAACGATGAAAATGTGATTTGAAAAGCTGCAAAATCAAGACCATATTCAAGGTGCGCAATGGCAACGCTCATAATTTCGCCAAGGCCGAGTGCAATGCGTGCGAATAATCTTACGTGGCATTTCATTTTCATTAGAAATCTAAGCCTGCATGCGTCGTCTTTACCGGGGGTGAAGCGGAGAGCCAGGTGACGCACGTGCCGCTTACGCCGCAAAAAAGCATCACCGTGGTTAATAACTGATTAGCATGCAATATTAATTTCAAGCTTGGCGACTGCGCCTGGCGTGTGAAAGCGGCTTCAAGAGCGCGAGATACACGCCAAGCGAAAAGATTCAGCATTTATATCCATCTCATTCTCTCCTCGGTTCTCACTTCAAACACACGACATCAGCTTTTTTTTAGAGTCACCCTGCAGTGGAATGCATCAGCCAATTTGTCACTCCGCTCGCGTGAGTTCGTATGCACAGAACTTTCTATCATTATCACACTCGGTTAGTTGTATTTTGAAACAATAATGTACACCTGCTTCGGTCGAAATTGTATTAGCACGCATTAATAGTAACATTTTCGCAAGCTCTAAGAAATCCAAACCATAACATTGTAAAACGCACCTTGTTACGACGACGTTATAGAAAGTTTACCACAACATAATGTAGCCTTTAAAGCCTGGTTTGTCTAAAGCGTATACCTTCTTTCTCGAGACCCCGCTGCGGTGATCTAGTGGCTAAGGTATACTCGGCTACTGACCCGCAGGCCACGGGATCAAATCCTGGCTGCGGCGGCTGCATTTTCCAAGTATAGGCGAAAATGCTGTAGGCCTGTGTGCACAGATTTGGGTGAAGGTTAAGAATACCTGGTGGTCGAAATTTCTGTAGTCCTCCACTACGGCGTTTATCATAATCGTTCGGTAGTTTTGGGACGTTAAATTCGTTAAACCCCAGATATCAATCAATTTCTTTCTCGAGTGACAGCCGTACAGAGGCGAATGTTTTGCAGTCAGCCTAGGAGGAAGAATAAATTTTATTATAAGAAACCAGCAGGTTTAGGTGGCCGGGCCTAGGCCTCCCATGAGGGAACGTCAAGGGCTTGTCTCGACGCCGCCTCACGGGCGTGCTGGGTCGCCCAGGTTTGGTCGTCAAGAACGGGGCTCCACAGAGCGTCATAGAGCTTCGACGAAAAGGTCGTGGCGTTAGTGTGTATGTACTGTACCGGAAACTCCCACAGAATGAGCGGAAGCGTAGCCGGGTGAGTGCCGCAGCACCGGCAGTGGGAGGTTGTGTACACATGCGGGAATATGAGGTGAAGGCAGGCAGGTGAAGGATACGTGTTTCTTTGAAGTAGACGCAAAGTGGTGGCCTGTGCCCGGTTGAGCTTGGTGTGAGGAGGGGGAAAGGCTCGGCGACTGAGGTAAAAGTTCTTAACTAGATCATTGTAGGTAGTCAGATTGTCCCTGGTGTCCATCTCGTCTCCAGTAGCTCCGGCACGGTCGACAAGGCCTCGCTGAAAGGAGTGGGTGACCTCGTTGAGGTTGGGGGAGGCGAAGGCGGACTGGGCCCGCGTGGGCGGGGATTCATGTCAGAGTTTTTTTTTTTTTCGTGCAAGTTGACTGATAAGCAGCACAGGTTGCTTTCCACGTTGTCGCCATATAAATGAGTTGAAATAATCGCAATCTGAAGTCGGCAAGCATTTTATACTGGGTACTCTTTATATCAGGGTGGTCACACCAAGTTTTATAATATCTTGGCCTCGGCACGATTGCTTACAAGTCACGGGGAAGACAGACCCACGACAAAATGATTAAGCGCACAAGACATGCTCCTTCATATGGAAAAAACGTGCTTAAATAATCGATGTAGCACAGCGAAGCAAACGAAATTCATCCGATTTTTTTCGAGATGCCATGTTGCATGCGCTGTTCTCCTAGCGGAAAAGTCAATGAACGCCTCTCAATATCGGGAACTTCCCTTCTGACGATACCGGTTGACCCGGTTTTTGCCGAAACCCATACCAAAACGGCAGATGGCAGTACATAAAAATGAAAAAGGCGGACGTTCCCTCAGACGTGTTCTATATAACATGGTTTTATAAGAGTTTCCCCGCTTCTTCTTGGCAACAGTTCGTGTTTCGGCGGTATAATCTCGCATCTAGTATTAACATGAGCGCATAACGCATTTCGACCGCAGCGACGTCCCAAAAAGCGACGCACACCCACCTGGAAGAAAAGGGGCAGGCCCATGTTCTGAGACAGCGTGAGGAAGACCTGGAGGAAGTTGAACGTGCGCGTCCGGTTTGCGACAGCCTTCAAGGAAGGCCAGTCGATGCCCAGCGAGTGCAGCAGCTGCGCCACTACGTTGCTGTGGTCGTGCTCGGACTCGTGCTCACCGAGACACGTGGCCAGAGCACGACCAACCTTCTCAGTCACTGTCATGTTGACGGTGCCCCAAGAAAGCGCTGCGACGCGTCTCAGCGCCGCTACTCTGACGCGATTTTCGAGCAGGTGGAACTGATGCGCCAGCTGCGGGAACTCACGGGGCCACCTGCCGCACACGAACCTGCATCAAGTGGCCACGGAGCAATGCTTTCAGTGATGGTGGAGAGAGACAGAGTCACAACACAAGTCACAGGGTCGCTTAGGCGTTCGCCTAAGACGACTCCAAGTCAAAAGCCACCTCATTTTTCTTCTCACTCAATGCATTGATCCTCTCCCGTTTCCCTTCATAAGCTTTTGACGCCCAACGTAGTTTAGCATTGCCTCCAAGATTGGAGGCATAGCAAGCTTTTCTACAACTCATCTGCTTTTGCACTGCCTCCGTGATCGGCCCCATCTTTTACCAAGCGGTGATGCCTTAAGCTGACGTCATCATGTGACGTCATCATGTTATGGTAATGTGACATGTGACGTCATCACAATATTATGCGATCTGTGATGTCGTGATGACGCCTTGTGGTGACATCTTCAGGTTATAATGATTATTTGGTCAATTTTCACGTTTCGTAAGGCATCTGAGGATTTCACCTTAATGAGGGGCGAAAAATACGAGAGAACTGTTTGGGTTATGTTTCACAAAACGTCACCGATATCAAATCAATAATCTTGAGAAGTGTCTGTTCCGAGCGAGACAAGATGTCCTCAAGCTTGACTGAAATATCGAAACAAACTTATTTCCTCTGTCGAAAAAAATGCTATTCTAAGATTATCTGCGTCCGCGACACGCCCACCTTCTTCGCTAAATGGTCATACTCATCAGCCTCGTTGCACCAAATGCAGTGCCAAAAGCCTGTGCTGTGTTTCGACAATCAACCCAATCCTGTGCATGCGGCATGCGGCCACGTTATTTCCTCAAACTTCTCAATCTCATCTGCACATCTACCTTTCTAATTCTCCCTGCCACGCTTCTCTTAAAATCGTCTATTACTCTTAACTACCAGTGGTCACCTGCAATACGCTGCACGTCTTTGATTTCGTGGGGTTTAACGTCCCAAAACCACGATCTGATTATGAGAGACGCCGTAGTGGAGGGCTCCGGAAATTTTGACCACCTGGAGTTCTTTAACGTGCACCCAAATCTGAGCACACGGGCCTACGACATTTCCGCCTCCATCGAAAATGCAGCCGCCGCAGCCGGGGTCCGAACCCGCGATTTGCGGGTCAGCAGCCGAGTATCTTAGCCACTAGACCACCGCGGCGGGGCACGCTACACGTCTTGCCCATGCCGATTTCATCTACGTGATTTCGGCTAAGATTTCAATAACAGCCCTTCGTTCTCTGACCCACTC